AGGATAGTTGTGATAAACTAAAGTATTGCAACACATTCAGTTTTCTGTAAATGTTAGTGCACTCTGGACAACTGAGAATAAAAACACAATTGCTGGAAAATTGTTTTTAGAGCATTCAAGTCTTAGATCTTAAGTACCATAAATCATAAAATCCAGTGCTGAAGTTTGCCTCTGGAGTATAACTGTGGAAAAAAGATATTTCAAAACTTTTTTGGGGATCTGAACTAATTTAGATCAGCTGTATTTCAAAATCTGTAATTTGGCATGTCAAGTTAAGACAGGATTATACTACACTCCCAACAGATTATTAGGTTTAAGACTTCTGAGAATCTTAAACCTAAAAGGATTCTGCTGAAGCTCCTGATTCAAAGTTGTGGCAAGTCCTTTTAATTTTTTAAATGATGTCTCTTCAAGCTTTAAACAACTATACTGGAGGCTAAACGTTTAATTTAAGAACAGATTTGGCAAATCAATAATAAATACATATAACTTAAGTAGAAATTAATGTGAAAACACTATATATTTAACAAATTCAGGATTTTATCTTTTAGAGAAATTTAAAGTATAGAAAAGCTTATTGAAACCTGACAGATTTTTAACGAACAATTATTATTTTTACCCAGACAAAAACATGAATATGTTCTATATAGTAATTTATAATATTTTGGGCATCTAAACACAGAAAAGGACTTATGAAACCAGTGATAAAGCTGTTTTATGATTTTGCAGGATGGTAAACTGACTCTTCACTGATTATTTTGTTTTTATCTAAAACTCAGATCAGCTATGCATGTTTTTATATTCAACTGTGGTAAAATCAGGAATTAACTACACTTTACTAAATAAGGACATATTTAAAAAATTGTTTGTAAAGTTGACAAAATTATACAAAAATAGTTTCCTTTAGGCCTTTACCGAATGCAGCACTCAGGCTGTGCTAAAAGTATGATGCTAGGTTAACTTCCAGCCACAGAAGGAGCAAAAATGCCAATTAATTGTTTAAATGAGTGTACATTTGTCTTTGCAAACTGAACAAAAGTCTAAAAAGTTAAATTTAAGTTTTAATTCTTCAAACATATTTTTTTAATAAAAAAGGCCACTTAAATTTAATGGTAAAAGCAATATTAGAAATAACATATATATAAAGTCTTCAAAGGTTTCTTCATGTCCAGTTTTCCTTTTTTTATTGACACAAACCTTAAAAGTTATTAAACAGAATATCAGACTCTTTATAGACATTGAAGAGTCTATCCAGATATGTGCAGATGTCTGGCTAGTAAACCCCCTAAGTTAGTTTTAATTTCTTCTCTGATGTGAATTTTAATATAAATATAATACAAATATAAAAAGACAAATGTTAAATGATTTAATTATATTATGAAAATATAGTGATACCCTGCCCCTATTGCAGAGCTTTAGATTCAATCTTAATTTAAACACAAACATTATCCAACGTAAAAAGTTTGATTTGCAATATGCTATGTAAGTTTAAATTTGCAACAAAATACAAAAATAGTTTTTCTTCTCACAATGAAGCTGGAAGTTAGATGTGAACTAGTTTTCTTCCTTAGTTACAAAAAGAAAAAAAAAAAAACATTTTTGTTTGTTTGATATCTAGGTTCAATAACTATATCATTTTTTTTCCATTTTGCTCACAGTCTAGGAATACCACAAATTTAATATTTTCCAAAATATCTGCTATCCTCAGAGAGACGTTGTGTGCTAAAAGAAAAAAACTGGAAGAACAAGGATTGTTGACATTCGCCAGGTCATTGTGACTGATTTGCTGATTTCAAAATGCTTTTTCTTTATTTGGAAAAAAAAAAAAAAAACATTAAATTGCCCTAAATTCCTGTTCGGAACAAGCAGTTATTCACTGCCACATCCGAACTAAATCTGGCCATCTTTAAGAGCTTAAGTGGGTGTTCAGTACCCTACAGCTGAACTAAAATTTATAGACCATATTTAACTAAATGGTTACTTTGGAACAAAATCTCTGACAAAATAAGAAGCAAATGCGTCCTGGAGCTCTAACTCTTAAATTGACGGAAATAAAAGAACTCTAAATTGACTGGTTTTATGACTAAATTATAGTCTCATCCCAACAACATGAACATAAAGATCAAACATAGCTGTAAACTTAGAAAGTGCCCTCTGTGGCCTTTTACGTAGAGCATATTTAAAAGCAATTGACACACTGTTGGGTGATGTCTCCCTGGATGAGCCAAGCCAAAGGTTGTATAGTTTTTTTTTTTTTTTTAGGCATCACAAAAGGCAGCAAGAAATTCAAAATGATCCAACACAGCAGACTGAAACGATGCCGCTGTGTTCACATTATCTCACTCTAGACTGTATTTTGCCTCACTTGTGCAATGAATCAAATTGTATGACACACTTTTTTCCTAAAATTTTTCCTGACTAGAACAAATCCACTTAACCAAAATAATAAAAAATGTATTTTAATCCAAGCGCATAATCCAAGATTAATATATTTTTTATTTGTGAGAAAATAACTTCATTATTTTACCACAAACATCATGTAAAAGAAAAAGAAGGTTTCCATTTTAAGTACAGTTGTCTTCATGCGCTCTTGTAAAAGTAAAGTTAAAAACTTCCAAATTTGTATCAGTGTACATTAAATAAGTCTCCTTCCTATTTACTACAGCTTTCGCTCTCATCACAGTTTAAATTGGTACAGAAACAAAAGAAAACAAAAATTAAGAATTTGCTTTCCATTTTCACAGGTACAATTCAAATTTTGTATTGAAATGTGAGTTAAGGAAGCTCTTCGGTGCATAATTATCCAGTTAAAATTTGACCAGATGAAGTATTTTAGTTTCTGGAGAAAATCACATGACAGTCATAAAATAAATAAGTAAAAACAGAGAAATACCCATTTAAATTAGGTATCACTGGATCAGTTACCAAATCAACATCAGCCACTTTTTGGTGCAAACTCAATTAGTGGAGTAAAAACTAATTGAAAATGCCAATTAGCAACTGAAAAATTTTTGTTTTTCCTTTACTATTTGAGCCACCCGAAGACACAGTGAAGCCCTGGGTATAGAACCATAATTCATATATTATGAACTGCTACTGTTTTAGTAAAATCTAATACTGCTACAATTTCATTGCAAGACAAACAGGAGTTGGAAAAAAATAGCTCAGGGAAGTTAATATTTTACTTGATAACATACATCTTTTAAATGAAACCTGTTTTTTTTTTTTTGCAGTTCTGCCTTTTCTTTTAGATGCAAATTACCCAAAGTCCACTCTTTTTACACAAGATCCATTATCATGATTGATGATATATAGCCAACTAAGGGAACCCTTTATTAAAAACAGAGTTCAATAAATAAACAAGCGTTCTCATATGATGCAAGAGGTGGAAACAGGAACCTCTTTATTTAAATTCCTCAAAAAAAAATGTCAATGGAAAAAGCATCGAAGCATGGTCAAAAAGATGTAAAAAATTTGGATAAAACTAATTCAATGTACAGCTGCACAAGAAAAACTAGCATATTCTTTATACTTTTGAAACACAGAAAACTTTAAAACCTACTGTCATAGGTATAATAAAACAGAGTCTAATTTCATAATTGTATTTATGAACTAGTAGTTTTTAATACTATACTAATTACAAGTATATAATTAAAGCTCAACTACCACCGGAAAATTATTCAAACACAAACATTTTCTAAAACTAAAAACATTTGAAGGAACAGTCTGAAATGATGCCATGTACAAAATCTACACACTAAATTTGTGTATGATACAACCTATTTCTCACCTTTAAATATTAAAACCTCTTCAATATTCTGACATCTTTTGGGTTGTGTCCTTAAATTATTAAATGGGTGAGGCTTATTTAAAAAAAAGTTACTGCATTCCTGTTCATTGTCTGCCATGCAGCACGATGGAGTCTGATTCCTGAACTCTCGGAAAAAAACAAACAAAAAAGAGACAGTAAATTTGCTCCAACAGGTTGGGGATAAAAAGTCATTTTCCAGAATGTGTACATATATAAATACATCACTTATGTATTTTGATACCTGATTGGCTGCACATAAACAAGCCATCTCTACTGCAATAACTTAGACGAGCTCTTATCTCACTTACAGGAAACCTGAAGGAGATGCTTGGGAGATTAGTCTGAATGTCTCCACATGGACACACCTTATCTTGTTTACTTTTGAATTTTCGCAGGCAACCTAATCTCAGTTTCCATGGTAATATTAGCATTCCCCAAAGCAGAAAAACAATGAACATTGTTTTGGTCGTTTGTGAATAAATCGGATATTGCCGATGCTCTGATTGCATAGATTCCTGTAAAGGCTCCCTAAGCCTGAGCCCCACTTCTCCACTCCCTGGTGATCTTTACAATCTTATTACTTTCAAAGATTCCCTTTTCATTTAATGAAAGGTGAAAAAAAAAAGATATTTTTTTGTTAAACATGACAACAGAAGGAGCAAAATAATTTTTGCAAACGCTAATCATCCACAGGGAGGTCAGAGGTTAAAACAGGTGTTTGGTGTTTGACTGAAGAGCCCTTGAGCATGCAGACATGACAGCTTAGGAGCCTTGAACTGGAGTGCTCAGGGGGAAGACCCTCCCCGCTCCCCACTCAATCCCAACTAACTAACCAGGGGAAATCAAAGTTAAATAAAGGAAATAAAAGCCAAATAAATAAATGCACCAAGCTGCATCTCCACAAAGCTCATTTTAAGCTCAAGATGCAAGCTGGGACACAAAAAAACAGAAGGTGGGAGGAATATGAAAGAAAAGGCCTGATAAGTCTCCAGGACAGAGAGAAAAGGTCAGTGCCACCACACAAATTATACTCAGCAATTCTTTTTTATTGCCATTAATCTTCAGTCAAACATGCTTCTTCACGTTCACAAAACAAATACAAGACAGAAAATGACTCAGATAATGGAAGGAAGCAGCAGGACTGATGAGATGCAGCGCTTTTCTGATGAGCCACTTTTATCAACTAAAGGAACGTGGAGAATATAATTTTTATTGGTGGTACATTTTTTTAAATCAACTAGGACTTCACTGAAATTGTGTGAGTGCAATCAAAAGTACTATCAACTTTTAACTTCCTATACTTCTTGGAAAGTTTTAAAACCAATCAAACTTTTATTTTGATTGGTTTTAAAGGCATGCTCTAAATTTTAACAAAATTTAGAATGCTTGTATTTGTATAGACCTTTTTTGTTGCAGATGGAGGTGATTTGATTTCTGTAAACTTTTGTAACTGCAATTATTCACAAGAGACAGCAGAATGCCCTTTCTCTCTGCTTTCTATAAAATATATATCTCGGAAACATTTTAGTACTGTTTAAATTACATCCAAAGTTATTTTTTTACACTGGTTTATTCTTTGAAAAGTAGAAAATGTCTGCAGTTTTCCAAAGTTGAATAAAAATAAAAGATCCTTTTTATGGCCTGATAACCTGAGAGATCATATGAATGACCTTTCTCCCTCTTAATGCTTGTTGAATATATTTCAAACAAACCTGCAAGTTCTTCAAGTAAATGTCTTCTGATCAATCCTAAACCCACCTCAAAACTTTCCCAAGTTTTTATCTACTGGCTCATTTATATTAATTAGGTGGATTTTTAATTATTTGTTTTGATTATCTTGATTTTATGTATGATCTGGTCTTTACTATGTTTGTGTTTGATTACTATGTTTATGGCTTTTTTATTTATTTTCTTTTGTTTTTAAGTGCATTGAATTTACACTGTGTCAAACGGTCACTTTCGACCCCTTATAACAACATCAGTGCCTCAAAAGTAGGTTTATTTTTATTTCATTTGATCCATTCACTAAAGTTTTCCCACTCCTCTTAACACATACAAGACAACAAATAATCACAATGACACTTTGGATGGAGGAAATTTACATGTCTTTGCTGGATAATACACTAATTATCTCAGCTCCACTGCATTAACATATCCCATCTTTGTTTTGCATACGTTCTTTAAAACAGTCAGTGATTTAGTCGCTTTGTACAAAAACAGCTGTTAACCTTTAAAAAATGTTGTCAAACCAGAGGAAACACTCACAGCTCACAGCTGGAACCCTTCATGTCTCTATAAAAACTAGAAATTAACTCTACCAACGAAAATTACAAGCAGGGTCCAAAAGCATTCTCATGTTGATTGCATACTGAGCTCAGCAGCTGTGGACAAACAGATAACAGAGTTATAAAGCAGAGAAATTCTAAGGCGGCTGGGGAAGATTCAGCTCAACAGATATTTCACACAAACTTTCTCTTTCTCTTCTCTGTAGTAAAAACTGACCTGTACGCGACAATAGGTGACAGAGAAACCTGGAGATTAATAAAGATTTGGAGCAGGTGGTGTTTAAATGTCACCTTCTGGCCTGATTTTAAAGTAAGTAGAAACATATTAGTCTCTTCGTTTCCAGTTAATGAAACATGCCAGATGTGTGAACACATCTGTAAACGAAGCTGTTGGTTTGATGGTTCCTCTATAGCAGCTTTGATGAGCTGAAACGACCTGAAGCTGGATTTAAAAGCCTGACAACCTTTTACAGCTGGGAACCTCCCATTCTGCTCAGGTGGGTGGGAAAGGGGTGCGGATATTTTCTGTTGACAAACTTAAAATGGAGCAACGTGCAAAACAAATCAACAAAAAAACTGAAGTATTTCAAAACAATTCATATTTACAACAGTTGTTATAGCATCCTTTTACTCAAATACATAAGATTGCATTTCTATTTCTTTTGAAACTAAATGTAATCCAAAAAAATGTAAGCCATTCACTTTGGACTTCATAGCAACTCATGTTCTTCATCAACACTGTACAAGTACCGAATGAGGTGTTAGAAAACTCTGGACCGCCTCCAAGAACATTGAGAAATAACTTTATAGAGGCAAGGTCAAGCCAGATATGATGAAAGATGTTTTTCAAATTGATTAATTGCACAGCAGTGTAAGATATAATTCACATTTAAGCCTGCTAAGAACAATGTGATTGTGGTATTATTGTTGAAAACAGTGATAATGATATTGGTTGCCACTAAATCACAATTCCCCACTCATTTCTTTTTTTTTTCCCATCATCACACTTTCCCACAACTGTGTGTCAGCTTCAGCCTCTCACCCACTTCATTTTAGATTATGTGTAGCCATTGAGGGTCATTAAACTCATCCGTCCATCCGTCCGTCCGTCCGTCCGTCCGTCCATCCATCCCACCCACCCAACCACCCACCGCTTTCTAGGGGTATCCCAAGGCGTTTCCAGGCCAGCCAAGAAACATCGTACCTCCAGCGTGTCCCAAAGCTCATGACTATAGATGAGGGTGGGAACGTAGATCGACCAGTATATCCAGAGCTTCGCTTTTTAACTAAGCCCTCTCTTCACCACGACGGACTGGTACAGCGCCCACTTCACTGCAGACGCTGCGCCAATCCGCCTGTAGATATGAAATCATCCATAGTTCAAATATTTTTTATCTCTTTTTTTTTTTTGCAATTAACACATGAAAAATAGCAGCAAAAAATGCAAACATTCAGTTCACCAGTTACCTGGATCAGGGAATCGTTTAGGGTTAGCAAAAATAACTATTATGACTTGATCTTAGGATTAAAGTCACGTTAATAAAAAAGACTTGTGACTGTTTTGTTTTTTTTCTTTCAGCTGGATGGACAACCCTACACCCTCCCCCCACCTGTTGCTAGCGGCTGCTCTTAAACCTTTTTCTTCCTTACGAGAAAGATGAGGTCATCTGTTTGGAAAGTCATTGCATGGAAAAAACAGAGCACCGTCCATCTGTCTCTTCTTAAGGTAATGCTGGTTTTAAAAGTAGAGCAAGAAGACTATTGACTGCACTTATGTTAAGAAGCTGGTTATGCTTCCAAAGTTGTGCTTTATCCTGTTACCTTGCAAGGTAATTTACTATTTTACTGTGTTTACATACCAATAACTGTACTTCAGTCACACTATGAATAGATATGTTGCTAAACGAGGATTCCTCTGAGCATCAGCGCTCATTTGACCTGTCACTGAAGATTGAATATTAAAGAATAGAGGCATTTCAGCCATTTGAAATATAAATGTTTGTCCCAAAAGGATAAATGTGAATAATGCCTAGAAATACAAAACCTGTATAGAAAAGTTATATTTAGACAGTCAATACTCTCCTATCTTCCATGTTTACACTAAACTGCTTATTCAATGTTGATGCATATATATATATATATATATATATATATATATATATATATATATATATATATATATATATATATATATATATATATATAAATGTTTAAAATTATGTCTCAATTTTTTAATGGCGAAATAATTTTTAAAAAGTCGTCTTTTATTGTTAATGTGCGCTTTTACCATGACTGAACAGCGCATCTAAAGTAAAATATTTAATCCCTGAATACGTTTTGTTTTTCCGCATTAATAGAAAATTCTGCCAAACTACCTCCATGCATCTTTTTGTCACCTTTTCCATAAAATAAATAAATAAATATCAGAATGCAATTAAGGCACATTTGTCATTTCTCCAGGCAGGAGACCCGTAGGGTTCAGGTTAATGAGGTTAAAATTTGCTGAAAGTACACTATGTATTCACGTCTGGGGAAAATCAGAGGTACCTGGTGTTCTCCTGCTACATAATGAGCGCATTAACCTGCTCTAGAAATGTTTGATTTCCAGGTGTCTGTACTGATGATTTGAAGACTTTGGCTCGCCGCTGCCAAAAATTCAGGCACTCCAGCCGCTCTGGGTTGGAAGTTTGATTTCCTTCTGCGTGCTCTTGCCATCTGAGCCTGCTGCTGCTATTTTAATCAAAATAAATCGATTGTGAATATGCAAATGATGTCATTTATTAATTGCTGAAGCCAACCGTTCTGTGTCTGCAGCACCGAGTTTAGCGGAAATTTGGGGAGAATGAATGAATTCTGAGCTAGAAATGACAGGAAACGTGAGGGAGGGTCAAAGGTTTGATGGCTGACGCTCGGCTTTGTCTCATTTTCTTGCAGAGCCTGCCACCTGTAAGAAAGCAGCTTCACTAAAAAAAATCAAAAGCAGATTATCAAGATTCATCAAATTAAAGAAAAAAAAATATTCTGTCTTTTAAAATTTCTCAGACGGCTGAAGTAGATCAACCGAGCAAAGAACCGCTAACGCAAAACGCCATCTCAGGCTGCTGCCGAGATTTAGCAACTGGCATTATTTACAGAGTGTTTTTTGGAAAAATTTTGGCTGAAAACAGCAGGCTGCATGCAGCAGCCCTGAATGGTGGCTCGGTTTAATCACACACTCAAATCGAAGAGGCGCTGAGAAGCACGAGCACGCACATATTAATATGCATGCACAAGCAACGGGGAGCACGCAGCGATGCTCACACACACACATACACACCCGTTAAGCCGCCCGTTCTGATAGGTTAAGCTTCACTCCATTTGGTTAAATGTTTTGTTAAAGAAGTGCTACACCAGTGGAAGGAGGGAGAGAAAGGGTGGAGTAAATGGTAGGGGTCTCTGTGGCAGGAGGGGATGAGGGGAGGGAGTTGAGAACGGAAGGAAGTCAGAAAAGAGCAGGCGTAAAAAAACATGAAGAAGGAAGGTGAAGAGAAAAGAAGGGAGGAACAGGGTGAGGATCCTCGAAGAGCAAAAACAGAAGTGGGAAATAAAATATGCAATCAGGAGAGAAGGAAGGAGAACCTAATTAAGTTTGAAGGTGAGTACAGCATGGAAAAGAAAAGGATTCAGTGAGGAAATTTGGAAGTGTGGAAAGGAAATAATGGCAGGATGTTGGAAGAGAAAAAACAGGTAGGTGAAAAGACAAAAACAAGGGTTGGAGGAGAGTGATACAGAAATGGGAGGAGGAAAATTTGTAGAAAGGAAACAAGCAAATTGGGCTGGAAACTCGAGACAGATTTCTAAAGAAAAATAAGTGAGAGATAAAAACACGACAAAAATTCAGACATTGAAGATTAAAGAACAAGGAGGGTGAAGAACCTGTCCAACAGAAATATGTCAAATAAGCACAACCTTTTGACATCATTACGCTTCAGAGACACGAAAGGACCAATTACGATGTCCTTGTAGGTCTGTGTGCAGGACTTGTTGAGGGTTGGTGTGATTTAAATTTTGTCACCTGCTCTCATCTGAAAGAGTCCACAGCATGTCCTGTCATTGTTCATGAACATGACAAAAATTTGTACCCAAGTACATAAAGAAGTAATGGAAGTTCAGACGGCGTGCAAATTGTCTGCAGAAAAAAACTGTATATGGAGACTCTGATATTCAAACATATTTTAACAGTAATTGGACACAGAAGCCTGAGGACATAAAGAGTACACATTTATTTGTGTCATGAAGGCTATTTTCTTTTTCTGAAATCTACGTTCACGTCAGGGTTGGGCATTGCAGCAACTTAATTGTATTTTCCACAGCTTAATTAGCAAATCTTGTCAAGAAAATGACAAAAGGCTGGTCAAAAAAATAATAAGAAAAGTTGTTATTTTTTTGGGTGAACACGGTAATGTCTCACCTGAACCTGTGATGCTATCAGTGGAAGAACTTGTTGCGTCTGGGGGTGTTGGCATCCCCAGCAGCAAAAATGTACTAAAATAATGGACAGAAATGACAGTGCAATTTGGAAAAAAACAGGAATGTGTTGAGAAAAAGGATTTAGTTCTAGACAATTCATAAAACCTTGGAGTGAAGTTACCAGAACTGGGTGAGCCAAGCTAAAAGAAAGAACAAATGAGGCGAACAAAATAATTGGCTGAAACGTAACAACATCTTTCTTTCATCAGAACAACGTAGCAGAAATTGGAACTATCCTGTCTGAAAGCAATGCAGTAAAAGTAGTCAATGCGTTTTATTTCTAGGCTGGTCGATCTCAATTAGGAATCCAGGGAAATTGGTAAAAAGACTTTAACTGATCCAAAATGATGCAGGCCAGTTTCTTTGGCTCTCTCTATTTTTACATCCAACTTGAAATTCTTCACACATAAAGTTGTGAATGAATGCTTATGCTTGTTTTGGAAAGTATGTTAGTCTCAGAGTGAAGGTTCGCTTGTGGTACCTTGTTTCTAAAAGCAGAATTGGAAGCAGATATTTCGGTTTTCAAAGTGCTCCCACTGGGAACCAGCGATTAGTTTTATTCCATAAGATATCTTGCCTATATTTCAGATGTGGCTTAAAACGTTCTGTCAGATTAGCGAAGGTTATCCTGAACTGTCTGTGTACACATGCAGATGAAGGACAGTAGATGTGTTCCCGCTGGCCATACAATTGTCCAATTGCTTAATAAAAATAAAAAAAACTATTTTTTAATAACTTTTTTTGCATCATACGAGTCACATGATCTTTTCTTATCTTAGGGTAGTAACCTAGGGGTAAACACTCAGGGAATTAAACATAAATTGCACTTTCCGAGTCATACCAACCACCGAGAGATTGTTGTTTGAACAAATTCTACACAAATTTATGCAAAGATGCACAAACATGTAGGCAACTTTGTGTTTAGTACTTTGCCCAGGAGTGCATCAACTAAAATCAAATGCAGAGGCTGTAAATAGAAAGACAACACTGTCCACTGAGCAGAAGTTGCTGTGGGGGAAAGGACAGTTGCTTTTAGTTTCTATCTCTTATTCCTGCTCTTGTACTTTTGTTTCTTTTTCCTGTTTTGTACATTTCCGGGTAGGTTTGGAAGACGGTCATCCGATTCTTAACCTGGTTCAGCTGGAGGATTATTTAGGTTAAAAAGAAGTCATTCCCGTCTCAATCGAGCATCCTCGAATGATGGAATAAAGTCATTGACTCAAGTCATTAGCTCACAAGTCCATGACTTGATGAAACTAACTGGACTTCTTTTAGGTGAAAACTTTTTTCTAACTGGCATTTAATGATCAACTGAACTGTCAAAAAAGCATTCTGAATTTGATCATGTCGGTTCTATTTCTGACTGCACCATTGGAATGTATTGGAAAATAATAGATTGATGTGAATTTAATTGCACCCAATTGAGAAAAAGAAGGAATGAAAAAAAAAGATATTTGAAGGGAGTGGTCGAATGAACACAGAAACAGTAGAAGAGGTAGTCATGACAGAAGAGGGGGAAGAAGAGAGAAATTAAAGACTGAAAGAGTAGGTAAAGGATAAGTGACAAATGAATAATAATCCAAGAACAGGATTGATGAAAATAAAATGACTGAAGAGAGAATTAGAAAAAGAAGAGGATTTGTTGGAAGAAGGAAGTAGGTTTGTCACGAGCTGAAGAATAAGAGCAGCAAAAGAAAGAAGAGGATGACAGGAGACCAGAGGAGAGACAGAAAGGATGAAGGGATGAAAGAAGGAGGGGGGAGTGTTGGGCTGGAAGGCCAAAATAATGGAGCAGCTCATCTCATGGTGAATTTGAATGGAGGCTGAATTAATTTAAATCTCATCACGGCCCGCCCTCTAATACCTTATCAGTTCTGCACGGAGACAAGGGACGTAATCGCATTAGACCCGCCACTCTGCTCTACTGCGCTCTGCTAAAACACACTGACACACACATTCAGTACCTGCGCTGATGCGAGCTGCTGCTGCACACACACACACTGGACATATACTGCAGAGTGTACTGTCACCGTGGTGGTGTGTGAGACTTCATGGTGTGAGTGCACGTACATTCAAACCAACAGACACACACAAAAGCAGCGTGAAGAAAACGCTGCCAATGAGAACAAATCAGCAAGACAGCAGCAAGCATGCAAAAACACACACACACACACACACACACACACACACACACACACACACACACACACACACACACACACACACACACACACACACACACACACACACACACACACAGATTTCTGAGTGTATGAGGACTCTCCAGGATAGAAATGAACCCTGGAAGCATGTTTAAAGTCTTTAAACTGCCCTTTAAGACACATTCCCAAAGTGTCAGCAAAGAAAATAACCTCAGCAGCCAAAATATGTCCTCATCGGCAAACAAATACACACAGGGAAACAAATAATAGACTAAAACACACACCCA